TTTCTACCTTTGCCCAACCTCCATATTTCCCTTCTTGGGTCATTTCCCATCCCTCCCAGCCCACAAACAGGACTCCTAAAGCCAATGTTTATGAGGTTAACACCCACTGTCCCTCTCCAAACCAGAATGGATAGAACCGAATGTTTCCATTAGCTGCTTGAAATGCAGTACTGACTACAACAACCACAACCATGGTTACCAGGGTACCGGAGAAGACCAAGAAGCCATCGCCTACTCTGAAGATCAAAAGAACAGCAACAAAACTAGCAGCAAGTCACTCCATGAGGGCAGCCCCAGCCCCAAACAGTGTCAACTTAATAAACCCCATAGGGACAGTTTTATTCGGTCTCAGAGGGACGCCATGGGTCATAATTGACATGATGGCAGTGAGTCTGAGTCTCTGAAATATTTTCTTAAAATAAGTGTGTATACACTGTCCAAGAAGTGGGGTGGTGGAAGCAGCTTCTTTCATTCATTCAGCTAGCTTTTCACCGAAAAGTGACAACATTGAGCAAAGTGCCATAAAGGGATAAGGTAGATTGTGGAGGGAGGCCCAGCCAGAGCCCTTTGAGGCAGGCAATCCAGTTATCCAGCAGTTCTGCTCTGAGAGGAAGAGCAAAGCAACATGTAAGGGTCAAAAGAAGTCTTTCCAGAGCAAAAGCACAACCTTCTAGGAGGAGTCCAAAGATGGGTAGGAATCTCACAGGTTAGACGGAGGGAAGAGGGCACAGGGGGAGGGAGTAGCAGGCCCACAAGCTAGAGGTAGCCACCCAGGGACATCTGGAGAATCTGTAAACCGGTATCAGTTATTATTGTACATCCACTCCTAAGCATCACAGCTGGGAAACCCCACAGAAAACAATGAAAACCAAACTCACGAAGGTGGTAAAGATAAGACCACATTAGTCTAAAGGCAGAAATATAAATAATATGTGAGAGGGAGAAGACCCCCATCAACATTAAGAAGCCAGGGAAGAAGTTCTTGTCATGGAACATCTAAGAGATACTTGCCCCCAGAACAAATTCCTGTAAGTTCTGTCTGGCATAATCAAGGTTACAATGCTTTCTGCCTGCTAGGAGGGCTGTTCCAGACCCTTGCCTTTGGCTATTGTGGCTCTGCCAGTGGCTTGGTCTGACTATACTTTGCTGAGGGGTTTTGGGCTCCCATTGTCCTCAAGAGCCTTCTACAAATTGGGTGTTCATAATTTTAGCTCCGATACTTTTCTCTTCACCATATTTGAATTTTGTAATTGTCATCTTTGGATCACACTAGATGGTGTGCTTTGGGGTGGACTTAGTTGATTCCTCGCTTATATAGCTGCTTGTTTGAATACAAACCTGTAAAACCCTGGTCGCTATTCGAGCACCATCTACTTTCTTCACCACACTTTGTTGTAGCACCCTTATCTTTAGTGATTATTTCATGAAGGTGAGTATCAAACAGGGCCATGATGTAAGAACTAACCGTTCTTAATTTGGAGTGAGGATTTACTGCTAGCCCAGAACTCCTTCCTGGATCTATGCTTTTTTTCTTTCTTTTCATTTATTTGCTGTAGCTTGGGCCTTAATACATATGTCATATCATTCCATAGTTCAGTCATGTCAAACATAATTGTACCATTGCTTCCATAATCAGTCTCCAAACATATTTTTCCTTCCTGGCCTTCTTGATGTCCTTTCCATCTTATCTTCCCCACCCCTCTATATTGTGCCTTACAGCCCCCCCACCCCCCACCCCTTATGTTATCTTTCCCTGTAGGTTCTATACCCCGGTGTTTCATTTATCATTGATTGCACAACTCACTTTTATGGCGAATCAACCATGGGATCAGGGAATGCTCTGGGATGGGTGTGTTGATAAATGTACAATTCCCCCTTGATATGGTTGAACTATAGAACTATTCAATTCTGTTATGTAAATTATTTGCCAATAAAATTATTGGGTGGGGGGAAGATTTAAAGACTCAGAAACTTATTGCAGCAATTCTACTCTGTCTTGTAGGGATGCTAAAAATCAGAATTGATTTGATGGCAGGGGATTTGTTTTTTTTGGTTTTTTGTTTTACATAAGATGAGGCCTCAAAAAGTTGGGCAGATGGAATTAAAATGATAGAAGTTTTCTACAAATTTTCTGAAGCCCCTTGTTAATTCGTGGTGTTGATTAGTTGCTGATTCATGGCAACCACAAGTACAACGTGGTCCTATGTGCCGATGATGTGGAAGTAGATAGCCAGATCTTTATTCCTAGATTGTCTTTGTGTGGATACTCTCATGAAACCTATCAGCATCGTAGTTACATACCAGCCACCACTGAAAAATGCATTGCTGGGAACCTAACCTAGGTCTCCTGCCTAGAAAACCCACTGACCCACCTCTGCCCTGACGGGCACATGCTTTAGAAACTCAGTGCCATCCAGTCAATTCTCACTCCTAGGAACCCATTGGGAGTGTCCTCCTGGGTTTCTCAGTCTGTAAATCTTTATGGAAACAGACTGCCTCATTTTTCTTCCAGGGTGGTTTCAAACTGCTGACCTTGCAGGAGTAAAAGGTCGGGTTTCTACAAAAGATTTTAGCTTCTTGTAAATGGACATAATACGAAACCCGAGATTTTGATAGAGCTCTAGTTTTGAATTAGTATAAATCATCTGAAAATTAATTACATACTCAACTGTAATGACAAATAACATGAACTCCCTGACATGTTTGCTTCGCTGTTTTATAGTCAACCGTAGGATTATGAGTACTTCCTTTTTTCCCTGCCTCTAGCTTCTTCACAAAATGATTGATGGCATGTGTGGCCGGGCTTATCCTCTCTACCAAGACTATCAGAGCGTTTGGGATTCAACAGAGTGGATTCACGTTCGAGAAGACATTACCACATTTTTCAAAGATGCCGTGGGCAAAAGTTTATCTGATGAAGAGGTAACTACACTCTCTAAGTTTCTGTCCTTTATAGTAAACACCGCATGTCTTTAATGAAGTTTGTCTTTGAGATGCTGTGTAAAGGTCATCATAGGTGAGTGTACGTTGCTAGAGGCCATCAAGTGAATTCCAACGCATTGTGACCCTGTCAGACAGCATGGAACTGCCTCCGTGGCTTCCCTACGCTGTACATCTTTACAGGAGCAGAAGTCTTCATCCTTCTTCTTCAGAGCAGCCTGTGTTTTGTAGTTAATCGAAGTGTTTTCTTTATTCTTTTATTGTCACTTTTAAGAAGTAGATGAGACAAAAGTATGTATTCACATTTAAACAGAAAGTGCCGTTTGCTGACTTTCTAACCCTTTGTTTCTATTTTCATAGATATCTCAGCAGTTGAATCAGTTGCATTCTTTTCATCAGGAAGCAATCATGAAATGCTTGCGAAGCCGAAAAGATGAAATCAAGCAGGCTCTGTTGGGGGAAATCGCGGCTATTTCCTCTGCCCAGCTTCAGGACTTTGATTGGCAGCTAAAGGTGAGATTATGGCCTTAGGAGTATGCTTACTTTTATTTTTTGAATTGAGAGAAATACTTAACATTTTTTATAGTATTATGTCTTAAATTTTCTTTTACTTTGAAAGTATATTGTCTCCAAGGCGTATCAAAGGTAATTTAAATTTTATCTTTTTCATTAACTTGGGCATGAGTATACTGCACGCATGCATCCAAATCTTATCAGGGTAGCATTAAATATTACATAGGTAGTAAATTTAGTCAACTAGATTTTTAAATGATTAAATGTCATAAGTTATAGACCAATATGAGAAGTTTCAAAAAGTACATGGAAAAATGCCATTATCTTTTCAGACCATTTTCCATGAACTTTTGGAAGCCTATTGTATATATTTAACATGCGGTACTTTTAAACTTTCTAGACCTGAAATCCTTTTTGATATTAGTAAATGTGATTCTACTTGTAGGGAGAATATATGTTATTAAACACATTTTATAAACATTTTGATGAGTCATGATCAGTAGAACTCGTAAAGAAAAATTTTAGTTCAGCAATCCTCCTTTTTAGATACACAGAAATAAGAACAGAAGATGAAGAGGGAAAAATGCAGTGTTTCTTGACTTTATAGTGAGCCCGTCTTGTGGGTAAGATATAAGAAAATAACACAGTTGGGTGGTGTGGGAAGGACTCAGGCTATATCTAGCCTCCTCTGGCTACACAAGGGAGAAGGAGCTCGTGGATCCTCTCAAGGGAGAATCCAGCTCCACACCAACTCAAGGCCAGGTGCCTCAACACAGCGGTCAGCACCCTATAGTCCTATTTCACCCCATTGTGACGTGAACTGGTCCTCCCATCACCCTGGGTTCCCTAGTCCGTAGCAATGGTCACACATAACTCACAGACCATTCTTGTAATTATGGAATTTTTTTTAGGAAAGTTAACAGGTGACCCCAAGTCAGGATCATAAAATGTTAAGGAGATAGTCAATGGACTACGGCAACACCTCTCAGCCAGCAGCCAAGTCGCTCTCTGGGCTTCAGCTTCTTAGTGGTCACTTTTTCCCTGCCTCGATGTCCCGTTCCACCTCTTCTCCACCCGCCCCCGCCCACCCCCGCCCCCGACTGCTCTGCCTCATGGTCTTATAATCTTGCTGTTGCTCTTCAGCTCTTGCCTCTGGCATGGCATCTGCTGCCTCTGCCACTTCAGGCAGGGAGGGATCTCAAACATGCCCCACTGATGCTCTTCTTTCCTGATGGCCCCAGAAATACTCTCTCTTTCTGCTTCGCAAGTAGCTCTTTTATAGTCGAGGGAATGGCGACTAAAACCGACCAGTCCCTTATGTTAATGTCGCACATACCCTATTGACATAGCACGCCCACCCCACCCCTGTCATTTGGTAGGAGTTACAGAGATAGAGGAGCCAAGATTTCACTGCACCGTAAGTGGGTTCATGACTAAATAAATAACCACCTAGAGACAGATGAATTTGTGTCATCTTCAAAGGTCTCTTTGGTTTCGGCCTTGGCCTTACGCCCTTCAACAGCGGTTCTCATCCTGTGGGTTGTGACCCCTTTGGGGGTTGAACGACCCTTTCACAGGGGTCGCCCGATTCATGACAGTGACAAAATGACAATTTATGAAGTAGCAACGAAAATACTATGGTGGAGGGGGGGGTGTCACCACAGCATGAGGAACTCTATTAAAGGGTCGCAGCATTAGGAAGGTTGAGAACCCTGCTCTTCAGGATCTTCATGAGCATTATGTTTATTGGATCTGCAGGTGATAAAAAACTAAAGGTATATTTAACTTCAAATATGGTGCAGTCAAAGTTTACAGTTATTTTACAGTCGATCACAGCAATGAAGCAAAATCACCCCAGCAGAGATCACTTAAAGAGAGATTTTTCCTATAAGTTAAGCCAACTATACATGGAAAAGAGGAAAGAGAACTGTTAATAGTAGCAGATATGAGCAATGCTTGTTTTACCACAGTGCAGCTCGGGTCAACGGTTTGTTGATTACAGGCCATTCCTGTATTTTAAGATGGGTGTATTCTAAGGAATCCTTTTTTAAGTTGATGTTGACATCAGTTGAATCCCAGCTCTCAGTCCCCCCGCCCGCACTCCTTTTATTATCAGTATCTTCATAAATGTTATCTTTATTTGTCTCTGTGATGGGAGACATTGCATATAAACGTACAGATCTATGTTTGTATGTACTACATACATGCACAAATCATAAAAAATTATTCTGACAAGAAGGGTTAGGACACAGACCCTGTCCGTTGCAGAAGGCCGTGGATCAGCTAGGCTGACCCTTGGCGTCCCTAGTGCGAATCAGTGCGAGTTGTTTCTATGTGCCTTTGCTTTCCCTCGTGTATTTCACAGTAACATCGCGCAGATTCCCGAAGCTGCCTGTCAGCTCTAGCAAGGCCACGGGCATTTGGGTCCGCCTTTGCCAGCAGCTGAAACCTCTGATTTCACTTAGAAAAACTCCAGCTAATCAATCCTTCTCTGTGAAATTTTTTAACCAATTCTCTCTTTCTTCTTTGTCATTATTGCCTCAACATTTCTTTCTTCTTGAAAATCCATTAAATTCTCATTGTTAATTCTCCTTTATGATCTATGAGCTGGTCCACATTGGTGATACCTAATTCTAAATTCAGCATTCTTGCCATATGAACGTTTTTTTTTAACCCATTGTTCTCTTCTATCATATTATCGTGATCAAATGGTTGGAGTGTGTTCACATAACTCAGCTTGTTTGTTTGTTTACCCCATATCTCTTGCATTGTATTTTCCTGTAACTTCCTTCAAGGAAGCTGTACTGTTCCAGATATAAGGGGTATCCAAAAAAAAAACCCAATTTTTTTTCCTAAGCTATGTTTTATTTATTTATTTTTTTTACAAAATAACCTTATCACCTACAGAGAAGTCTCCGTTACACTGAGTACATTTGTCAAATCTAGAATTCCATTCTTGGAAACATTTTTCAAACTCATCTGTATGGATGGCTGATAGCATCTCCCTCGTTTTTTTCTTCACCTCTTCTAAGTCGTCAAATCACTGTCCTTTCATGTCACTTTTCATTCTTGGAAATAAAAAGAAGTCCCATGGAACGAGGTCAGTGCGTGGGTTAAGAGAGGCATGCTGCTTTTTGCCAAAAACTGGTATACTGAGATGGCTGCGTGAACAAGTACATTGTCGGGGTGACAAAACCATTCCCCCATCTGCCTCAAATCAGACCTTTCATTAGCGCAATCTTTTCAGAACCTCTAAAACAGTCTGACCTGCTGGAATGAACTCTAATCGTACCGCAAGTCCACATTTTCGTCCGTTTCGGAAGTTGATGGACATTCAGAACAAGGTTTTTCATCAATCAACATTTCACCTTTTCAAATGAGAACACCACTTGATTTTTCCCAGAGCGCTGTTCTTGCAGCCTGTGTTCAACATTGCAACAGTCTCTGCGGCATTTTTCCCGAGCAGGAAACCAAATGTCACAGCCACGTGCTCTTCTCTTACATTGGCCATCACAAAAAATGAGGTTCATGAGAAACTGCTTTTATGAAAAAAATCACTGTGACCAGAGAGAACCTTCCCAGGCAGCGCCACTGGGTGCATGAACTCAGAGTGAGTTGCTTGATGCTTGCCCAGCAGGGAAAAATGCAGACTACGAATGCACCACCCAGCGGAGCTTTTTCCAGTTTTTTTTTTTTTTGGTGGGAGGAACCCTGGTATACTGACAATCACAAGTGTAGTTCCTGTAACTCAAATATATGTAAGGCAATACCTCTTACTGTCGTTTTTTGGTGGAAATGCAGTGTTGTCAGCAGAGGGGAGATTTAGTATATTCCTTCTAGACCAGGAGTCCTTTTTACTTAGTTTGGTGTTTTGTTTTGTTTTTGTTTTTTAATTTATGGCTGCCTAATTTAATAGATATTTTAACAAATTAGAGCTCAACTAGAAAAGAATGATCAGGATCTCCAACTCATGATGTATGAGGTTACCTTCTGAAAGATTTCATTCTATTTCCTGTGAGAAAACCTAGTGCACCTCTGGCAGTCCCCTTCTCCTCAGTGAAGCTAGCTTTAGAAGACTCGGTCCTGGATGTGGGGAACGAAGGTATTCTCTGGGTACAGGGGCTGGGAGAAGGGCTCAGATAGTATTATTTGCAATAAGATAGATTTGAATTCCATAGAGGGAAAAAATTTTTGACCTCTTTGAGTATCTGGAAATGATTTTATCTTGAGTTCTCATGTTGCTCACCATTGGTGGTATTCAAGCGTCGGCGGGGAATAGCCCATGCATTTCTCTTTCATGGCGATGTTGAGAATGAGGCCTGAGGTGGACATCTGGAAGGTGACACTTTCAGTTCTCAGATGTTAGGAGTCCTTGCAGTGGAGGGAGCATAGAGGCACTAACTAGATGAAGATTTGATTCTACTGTACGTGTGAGATTAGGAAGAGCCTTTGAAGGTGGTCCTTGGGGCAGAAATCCCTTGTCCACACTCAAGTCGTCTTGTGACAAGTAGGGAGTACTGCAGATAATGATTCCGTTCTTGTGGGGTTTTCAGGGGCAAATTCCAGGGGAAAAGCGTCCTTTTAAAATCTGCTCGTGAAGCTACAGAGCTTGTTTGAAACGGCATAGTCACATAAGTACTTGACTCCTCCGCTTTTCCGGAGATGCTTTGTGGGACAAAGTGAGGCGTGAGGTAGGGGTCCCAGGTGTTTTTGATGAGTGGCTGTCACTGAAGGTGTCGTCTTGATGACTTTTCTCCATCGTTTAGTTGATAGCTGGTCATGCAGTAAGCATTTTAATTGAAGTATTTATCCACATGTTCCTCATTTGTCTTTCTCTGGATGGTCATCCCCTGGGCCCCTTCCCCCGCTTTAGGAACCCACCTCCTGCTGCTGTTGTCATAGCCACTATTGCCCAGGCACAGCCCTGCTCCACCTGAAGCTGTTGACCTGTCTTTTGCCCTAAGCTACTCTCTCTACTTTCTCTTTCTAGGGTTCGAATATATGTTGTTGTGGTGTGGGCTGAATGCAGTTCTCCCACTGTGCCTGTACTTGGCAGGAATCCCCAAACTCCTCTGCCTTCAAGTTGATTCCAGCTCACAGTCAGCAACAACCCCATGCAGGAGTTGTTGTTAGGTACCATCAAGTGGATGCGGCCCAAGGGGACCTTAAGCACAACAAAGGGACGCAGTGCCCTAGCCGGTCCTGCACCATCCTCACAGTTGTTCCTAGGCCTGAGCGTAGGCAGGAGTCCTTATTTGGAGGCTTTTTGTTTGTTTGTTGTTGCTGTTGTGGTTCCTAAATGTACTGTTACTAAGCTCTGGTGCATATTGAATGTCGTCATTTTTAATTACTAATTGCCGTTTTCTTTATTTTAAACAGCTTGCACTTTCTAGTGACAAGATTGCTGCCTTACAGATGCCACTGCTAACCCTTCACCTGGACGTGAAGGAAAAGGGTGCGGCTACACCCTGTTGTGTTGAGATGAGCAGAGAAGAGCTGCAGAGTCTCATCGAGTCCTTGGAAGCCGCTAATAAGGTGTTGGATTTCGTTTTGTCATCTGGTTTACATCTTTATACTTTTGATGCATTTAAAGCAATGAAGAAAAACCCATAGTTTGATTTTTAATATTTTTTTCCTGAAACGTAAACTACCAAGAAGTGTTTTCTTGATACATTTTGTATCTACTTTCAGATATTAAGTTAATGATAACTTAGACCTTTCCACTGTTCGTTGTGAACATAGCGTATCAATCAGCTCGTTGGGGAAAATAACTGTGCTAACAGCTGCATTCTTCTTGCTTTAGTGCTGATTCGTGGAACAAATATTTCTGTCTTGAAGCTGTGAAACTATTCTCAAGAACTTTTCTGGTTAGAAAAAACGTTTGTAATCCTGAAGAAACATTTTTACTGGACAAATAATAAGGACAGTGCTTGTATAATCCTGTAACTACAGAAGACAAAATTGGCCTTGTAGTCATTATGACAAACTCAGATTGAGACAAGATAGAACTAATTAATGACTTTTAAAATGTTACCTTGAAAAGGCCCAGGCTAGCTGATATCAAGGAGTTCAAGAAGAAGGAGAATGTTTTGAAACTGATTGTGGTATCAATTGTGTAATACTGCTTAATGTGTTTGAACTATAGAATAATGTGTTATTTGTATAATTCCCAATAAAATGGCTTTGGAAATCAAGTAAAATCAGGAAATGTAAACAAAAAAAGAGAAAAAGCAGAGGCTAAGTTGACAGTAACCCCATGTCACCCTCACTGCCATCGAGTTGATTTCAGCTTAGGGTGACCCCGTCCGGCCAAGGGGCACTGCCCTCTGGGGACTGCGGAGGTGGTCACTCTCCACAGAAAAAGAGCACCTCACCTTTCTCCCAGAGATGCTGGTGTTTTTGAACTGCTGACCTTGCAATTAGCAGCCCAGTGCATAAGCCTGGATGTCACCAGGGCTCATCGGTGTGACTCGTAACTGCTACTGTGAGGAAGAATTGTTTTAAAACATATCTTGATATATGACTTTCTGTTATTACCCACTGCAGCGGACCTGATTCCTACTCACAGCAACCCTACCTTGGGTTCTGAGAGTAAATCTGTACAGAGCCAGACAGCCTCACTTTTCTCCCATGGAGCGGTGGATTTGAACAGCTGACTTGGTAGTTGGAAGGCTAGTGCCTAATCCATAGCTCTACCAAGGTTGCTTTTTTCTGTTGTCACTGTTGGGTGTCATCGAGTTGGTTCTGACTCATAACAGCCCTACGTATAATGAACAGAACCCTGGCGGGGCCTGTGCCGTCACCACAAGTGTTCTGTTTGAGCGCCTGCTCTCTGAGGGTGGACTTCTGTCCTCAGTGCCCCACAGTGCCTTAGTCAGCTGTTCTGACTAAGCTCGCTTGCCACTAACTAATCCCTAGAAGCTTGTCCACTTCAGTATTCTTTAGCTTCTCCCTGTGGTCAGGTTCACATGCCCAGGAGCCCAGGATGCCGTAGCACCTGACATGTTATAAACATGAAATGATTCCACATCGCAGATCCCTGCAGGCACCCGCCATCACTTTCTGTGCATGATTCTGCGCCCCAGTACTCCATGCCCTCTCCATGCCCTTCTCCCAACAATTCCAAAGCATTTCTGTTCGCATATGAGTATATCCGTACTGTAGCTGACATCACTGATTTTTGTACCATCCCCCCCCCACCCCCGCCCTTTCTATTTTAAGGTGGTCTTGCAGTTGAAATAAGTAGAAGTGATGACGAACAGAGCTGATGAATGCTGTGCGCTCAGAAAACCTGCAGTGTCCGGTGCCACACTGAGAAAGATGAGATTACAAAGATAAAAGGTTATTACCTTCCCCGAAGAACAGGAAATGACGTGGTTGGCAGAAAATGCATAAGAAACGAAGATGAGAAAACTCGTAGCTGTTTATATTTTCATAGTGACTATTTTGTTTCATTTATTTAATATTTGAGGAATCTTTATCGATAAACAGTTTAGTATAAAAGGCAAATTTGAATGTAATGTAAGCATACAAAGCACAAATATACTTGAATGATGCTTAAAAGAAGTCTGTAAATAGCAAGGATGACATGTATTATGTAATTATTTGTGGTACTTTTTAAAATAACTTTTTAAAAGAAGGCTTAGACTGTATACATTTAACTAAGGAGATTCCATATTTTTCTCATATTTCAAAGGAAAGATGATAAAAGATCAAATTTGAGAAAGAAGCCCTTCAGATATGAGTGAGGAAAAATACTCTAAATTTGTATAACAATTCTGTGTATAAATTCTAGAAACACACATTTTGATTAGAACATTAGTAAAAAATGAAAGGAGCAATTACTTCTGCATTTCTGTGTCTGGCCAGAAGAATGTGTTCTGGTAAAAGAGTACATGCTATCGTAGAGTGTATATATCATTATAAAATGTCAGATAAAAATCCTATGTTCATTTTTGTTATAAACTAGCTGTTTTGGATATTAACTTGGTGGAAAACACTCCATTTTTAATTTCATTTAACATTCCAATTATTTTGAGTGAATAAAGAATGCCATACTTTATTTTGTATTTTATATTCTTTCAAGTGATTTTCATAAAAATACATATATTATCTGGTCTCTGTTATATGCAAACTGTGTAACTTATTAAATACTTTGTTGGCAAATTGATTACAACTCAAGGAACCCCTAATATGGTTCTCGAGTCAAATTGTGCTCCCCTAGTTTCATGAAAGCAAAATTTCCAGGCCTTTCTTTTGTGGGGCTGCGGATTAGATTTGCGTTATGACACATTTAATCATTTGTACCACACAGCACTCTGTGTAGCTCTTTCGAGTATTTAGAATATTCTTTGAGGAGACCAGAGCAATTACTACTTTTCATCATTACAGATGAGAGAGACGTAGGTTAATAATTATCTAGTGTGATGGAGACTGAGTCAGCCAGACTCACTCCACTGTGTCGATGCCAACTCAGAGTGACCTTGTAAGAAGGGTTGAGCTGCCCTGTGAGTTTCTGAGGAGCAGAACTCTCCCTTGGAGTGGTTGTTGGTTTGCAACTCTTACCTTGCAGTTAGCAACCCAGCCATAACCACACCACCACCAGGACTCCTCTGCACATTGTGCTCAGTGAAGTACTGGATTACTCGTCTGGTACGAACTCCTTACACGGAAGCCTGCATAAAGCCAGAACCTGGCAAAGGTGCTTTAATTTTTCATGTCTCAGCAGTTTACTGACTGATGGTACCACTGACCATGTTCATATTACTCATCTTAGTGCAACATATTTGGGTTTTGCTTCTCTGATAGTTCACCGTCGCATGTCAAGTTTCGTGGAATTCACCACAGGCCAGTAAGGTTCTAGACCAGTACGTTGAGTCACGCTGTCTGTGAGCTCGGGCCTGAATTTCCCGTGCAGTAGCTACTTCAATAAGGAAGTCAAAAGCAAAAACCTCACTAGTCCCTCTCACCAGGTAGCATCACTCCACGAGTCTTTTAAAACTTTGTAGAAAGATAATTAGCATACTATCAACTTTACATTTATTATGTATATTGTTTAGTTTAGATAGAACACTAAAGCAAAAACCAAAACCAAGATAGAAAACTTTATCAGTCACTCTTGAGTGTCCTCATTCTGTAACTCCCCCACTAGGCAATCATACCTCTGTTGTCCTAAAGCTATAGTTAGCATCTGTGGTAGTGATGTAATGTACTGTTAACTTGAGGAAGGGGTGGAGTCTAGCCTGTCAACCAGGTCGCAGCGTGACCTCATTTGGAGGCAAGACGGAGATAAAGAGCTCACTGGAGGCCAGAAACACTCTGCTTCATCTCTGAGAGACATTCCTGTTGATTAGCCACATGCAGATGCACTGATGCAGCCAGAGCCCTGGAGGTGGAGGAACCAGATGAAGACCCACACCAGCGCTGAGATGTTTCCACCGCCACTGGATCCACAAGACTTTCCACTCACTGGCTTGTGATCTTGCGTTCAGCATCACTACATGTGTTGCATGAGTCTGAAGAGGAATTTATAGACTGGTATTGGACATATGGGCTAATATTGGAATTACAGACTTGATCTGGACTGACTGGGATGTTTTCTCAATATACAATTGCTCATTTATATAAAGCTCTTTCTTACACACGTTTGAGTGTCTGAATTTGTTTCTCTAGTCAACCCGGACTAGCACAGCATCTGCAACAGTGACACAAATGACACTAAGAACGTGACAAAAACACTGACATTGAGTCAGTGTTCCATAGCACTGTACAACTGCTCCTGAGGGTTTCTGAGACTAAATCTTTATGGGAGCAGGTAGCCTCTTCTCCCACAGGGTGCTTGGATGGTTTGAATGGCCTATTTCCTGGCTAGCAGCACTATGCTTAAATGACACAGACGTACTAGCTTGGGAGAAGGGAGGGTATAAATAAATAGAATCACGGAGTACAGGAGGTAAAGAGGTGACCCTGGAGTAGGGGGTGTGGTGGCTGTGGTAACTACAGGAGTAGTGAGAGCTATTAAAAGTTCCTGGGGAAGTGACATAAAGTTCCCTAAGTGTGTAATTGACATTGAACAGAAAACATGGTAGCTGTGAAGTCCTAGGGGCCATGTATGTCAAGTTGATATTTTTTAATAGTCATGAATTTATTGCCAAAGGTATGTGCACTAATATCAGAAACAATAACAGCCATATTGAGTGACCCAGGTCAGTGCCAAGAATGAGACCAATGACATCGATTTTAGAGAGACCCATCACATGGGCTACAAAAGTATGCATGTCTTTTACAAAAACTACGAAGCTTACTGCACTAAGATTCCTGAATTCCCAACTTCACCTGAAATTACACTGGAACTGCTGATGGTTATGAACGCTGGTAACTTTTCCCAGTATTTTATACCTGTCATTAGTGGTTTCTTTGCATAGGTCATGTTCCCTGTGTGCAATTGAACCATATAAAGTTCACTGGAAAACCAATCCTTTTCTGTTCTTTTGGCATAGGGATCATAGCTGGAATTTGTTGGCTTGCTTCAATCAATTAAGGCCATTTTGACACAATCTATATAAGACAGGGTAGAACTGCTCCGGGAATTTCGGAGACTAACTCTTTGTGGAAGTAGATCACCCCATCTTTCTCCAGACCTGCCGATGGTTTTGAACTTCTGAACTTGAGGGTAGCTTCCAATGAGTAACCACTAGGCACCAGGGCTCCTGAGAAGTAAACAGATAGGACTTTTTTTAAATGACTCACATAGAAGGTACTTTTTAAAAATTATTTTTTAGCATAGTCACTGAGCTTCACTCATGTTCATTATATCCCCGATTTATTGAGAACTATACAGATTTGTATCTTTGTTTTAATCTGTTTGCCTTTTGGTGGATGTTATGTTGTTTCAAGTGTGGGGTTTTAGCCATTTATAAATTGCCATGAGCATTCTTGTATGCAATTGTTACAAGCTTTCTTGTCCCTTCAAAAGGAAGTCCTTCAGAGTGGAATGGCTGAATCATATCACAGTGTAGAAAATGGCCTGAAGGCCACATCTGACCATCTCTGATTCCCACGGTGGACTGCCACAAGACAGAGGTCAGATATGCCCCCACCATTGATCTCTTTCTACTTTATTCTGAAATCAATCATTCCTCTTGTGGAATTATTTTCCCTGCACTCCACATTTCAGCTAGGTTCTGTATGTAATTCATTGACCACACACACTCACAGACGATGCTCATGATTATGCAGTTTATTAGGGAAGTTAACAGGTTATAATACAGGTGAGAAATGCTCACGATACAGTTTTTCAGTAAAGGCAAAGTTTTTTCCCTTCCATGCCAACAGACAGGCCTCTTTCTGGCTCTCAGCCAATTTACCTAGCCTCTGCCCTGCTCAGACAATGTTATAGAGCTCTTAGAACTGCCAATAAATAACCCAGAGAGCATGCCACTCCACCTTAAGACGAGCCTAAAGGCACTCAGCTCCAGCTCTATGCGTCAGCAAGACTAGCTCCTCCAATTAAGTGCCTAAAGGCACCCCACTCCACAAACCAACCGCCTGCCCAAAGCACTGAGCTTTACCTCCTCAGGGCTGGGAATTCCACTGCTCTGCCTTCTGCTTCAGCACCTGGTTCTTCTGCTGCTGCTGCTCCTTTGCCACTCCTCTCGTGTCTTAGCTGTTTCCTGGATCCAAGAGGTTCAATACAAAAGGATCCAAGGGACACACTCTGCACCTGGATTTTCCCTGTTGAGGGTCGCAGAACCCTTCTTGCTTCTGAGATGGCTCATTTTATACTGAGCAGGGTAGCAATCATTAACAGCTGAATCCTAATCCAATGAGCAACACCCCTCACCCTCCAACCCAGGCCCATGGGGAAAATGAAGGTCATTTGATGGGAGTAGCAAAGGATATGGCTAGAAGAGCCTTTTGGCAATTCACTGCATTACAAGTAGATTTATATTTATTTCTATTTATCTTTCTAAGAAATGCTTTTCCTTACAACAATGAAGGAAAGTTACCATTGCACAACATCCTTGACAACATTTGGTATTATTGGTTTCGTTTTTGTTGTTTTGCCATTCTAGTAAATGTGCAGTTGTAGCTCATTTTTTAAATTTGTAATTCAGTAGTTACAAATGATGTTGAGACTATTTTACATATGTTTTCCATCTATAGATGCTATTTGATGAAGTTTTTGTTCAAAACTTTTGCGCATTTTGTCATTGGTTTGTCTACTCTGTTGAGTTAGGAGTTCTCTATTTCGAATACCAGTTCTTTACCCAGTATTTTGCAGATCCTTTCTTTTTAATCTATGATTTATCTGGAAGAGCTGAAATGTGTGTGTTGTTTTGTAATTTGTGTTTTGAGACTATACACAAGAAAACACACACCCATTCAACATGTCTACACGTGTCACGTAGTGACATTTATCACATGCTTTGAGTTATGCAACCTTTCTCACCTTCTTTTTCTGAGTTGCTCCTCCCCCTAAATTCACTGTCCGCAAAGGTTCCTATTTAATCTTTCAAGTTGCTGTTAATTTGATTTCATATAGATTGCTTTTAAAAGAACATAATTCTCCATGCACACATTATTTTCACTCACTCACTGTCGTTGAGTTGACTCCAACTCTCCCAGTGAGCCTCTAGGACAGGTAAGAACTGCCCCTGTGGGTTCCTGATACGGTAACTCTCTATGGGTGTGGAAAGCTTTGTCTTTCTCCCCTGGAGTGGCTGGTGCCTCCAAACTGCTGACCTGATGGTTATCAGCCAATTGCATGACCACTATGTGGGGTTAAGGGTAAGAGGGAACCCCACAAAACATCACAGGTTTGGTAGGCGCAATTGTACAGCGATAATAAGTAGAGATTATAGTAAAGTCATAGAGAGCATGAGAGTTAAAGGATAGAGTCAAGTAATGGAGTCAGACGCAATTCATGGTAGCATATCTCATCTCCGCCCGGCTTGATGGTCCTCGTGGAGGGGGCTCAGCCGTCAGAGAAGAAGCCGCTGCTTCGACCTCCTTAGTCACCTTCTGGCCACCCTCTCGAGTACCAGGGAGCCTCGTTATTTA